ATGGACTTATTAAATCATCACTGCCATTGACTGATGGGCTTATTAAATCATTTTGACTGCCATTCACTGATGGACTTATTTCTTGTTTACTACCATTATCTGATGGACTTATTTCTTGTTGACTGCCATTCTCTGATGGACTTACGATACAACTTTCAATAATATTCTCGTGTACCTGCGTATCATTTAATAAAGAGTCAATCTTAAGACATTCTAATGTATCTGTCACCTTTAAATCATTATTAAGTTCAACCTCTGTTTTATCCTTGGGTTTCAATTCTTCCTGGACTATGTTACTTAGTTCTTCATTCCAAAGGTTGCCAATATTTACTTCTTCAAGTTCTGCTTTAAATTCTGTCTGTTCTTTTTCTAATTTTGGTTCATTTGTGTCTGTTATAGCTTTCATTTCTAATAGTTCTTGTTTATATGCTAGTTCATGTAGGCCAACTTGTGTTTCCAAAGTTTCAGCCCTTTTATCTGCTCTCTGTTTTCTGTTTCTTTTTTTCCGCTTTCCTTTTAGTTGTACAGTCTCTTCTACTTTATCTCCATCTGACATTTCTTCTTCTTTTTGCATGTCTGTAATAGCTCTTGATCTATTGCACACTATTTCTATCACATCATCTAGTTCTCTCAATACATTTCCATGAGCTCGTCGGGGTTGGTCTGTTTCTTCGTCCCATGCTTCTTTTGCTTCTTCTATGTCTCTTTCAAGTCGATTGGTTGCCCAGGCTATCTGTTTATTCATCTTCTTAATGCCTTGCGCCCTCGCTAGTGCTAGATATTCTTCAAAACATGACATTTTGATCTGTTTTCTATTTATGACATAAAATATAAATTCATTAGTTGACAATAGATAAATGTTAATTAATTTACAATACCCTTTCTTGGTTTCTGGCTTCTTTTAGTTGATTACAGACATCTGGTAATCCAAGAAAAGTTCATAGTACATATATACGTCCAAAAATAGTTCACTTTGTTGATTCCAAAAAGTTGAAAAAATTCAAAATAGTTCTAGTAGCCTGTTACAGAGTAGAAATGTGTCCAGTTTTAGATAAGACATCTTTAGGAACAGTTTACAATTAATAAACTAGATCTGCTCATCCACAGTAGAAGAACTTGAACAGCTAATCCATATAGAAAAAACTTGAACAGCTAAATCCAAACAGTAGAAAAGAAACACTAAGACTTGATCGGCTAAATCCAAACAGAAAAAACACACAGACGATATTTACTCGACATTGGTGAGACAATATCGAAATAAGGTGATAAAAATTATCACGTTGATGACTTGACTTGAACAAAACGTCTGACTTGACTACAGCAACCCTTCTGACTTGAGTGTAGATAGATGACTTTCAAGAACTTGACGTACTTGGTAAACAGTGGAAGACCACAGACTGTAATATCTCCATTTCTGACATATGTAGCACCAATTCTTCAACCACTTGTGACATCATAAGTAACAGTAATACAATGTAGCAACATCACTTTATTGCCCCCACTTCTGACACCATATGTAACAACATGTATTCTTTGTTGTTGTGGGTTAGCTTTCATACAGGAACACGAGCAACAGTGGCAACTTCAAATGACAACTTTATTTACACTATGTACAGATAAATCCGTGGTACATCCATATTTGAAGATCAACTGATATAGGTACAAATAATAATCACGACTCCAAGTCATGGAGACATCTTACATTCACTGCCATCGTTCCAGTCCCAAGTCCTAGCACACAACACCCGTTCACCTTTCGCTCTACCTTTTATTCACAACTTTCTCTCCCCTTACGTCAATGAGCGATCTCACCCAAAAGCATGGATAAACACATGACGATCGCTCAGACAGTCCTTCCGCTAGCCAGATACTCTTCATTCATGCAACTTCATGTAAAACACAATATAATAAAGATACATAATAATGTAATGGGAATGTCTAATGGGAGGGGACATATATATATATATATATATATATATATATATATATATATATATATATATATATATATATATATATATATATATATATATATATATATATAAACACAAGCCAGTCAGAGGTTCGTTGGTCGGGCTAGTCAGAGATTCGTTGGTCGGGCCAGTCAGAGATTCGTTTGTCGGGCCAGTAAAGCTTATTGTTGCTAAACCGAAGAGTCCCGAATTTTCACACCCGTGCACCTGAGGCTCTATGTAGTTTGTCGCTTGACCTACTTCTGTTTACCGTCGTCATGGTAATAATGGCTGCCGAAAACGACGATTTCGTGATTCCGTTTTTTAACAATGCTTCATTGTCTTTTCAGAAATATAATCTTATAAGCTTTATTTTTTGAGTATTATTCAACGACACAGATCTAGTTTTAACAATGGACGACCAGTGTTTGATGCAAACTTGCCATTTATACATTTTTTGGTCTAATCGCTGAGAATATCGAGCAGAATTATATAAAGTAAGCAAAATTATAATTACTGTATTTAATACAGAGGCATATGTCCCCGGGCGCTGACCTTAGGGGGGGGGGCGCCAAATCGAAAGTTTGAGGGGGGGTGCAAATGAAAAGTTCGAGGTGGGGTTCAAATGAAAAGCTTGATGGGGGGGGGGGGTGCAAATGAAAAGTTCGAGGAGGGTGGGGTGCAAATCGCAAGATTGAGCGGGGGGGGGGGGGTGCAAATCGAAAATATGTGCCCGGGCGCCTTTGATTTAATATTGTTGTATAATACTCAAAATACTCTGAACTATAGAAAATTATTTAAAACGTCACACTAAACTATTTTCATTAATTAAAAAAAATACAATAATGCAGCAAAAGAACAAAATTTTCTAAAAATAACACATTATAAAGATAACAGCTAACTGAGCCCGCCAATTTTGTCCGCTGTGTATTTGAGTGTGAAGAAATCTGACAGACGACACATTTCTGCTGAAGGGTAAAACGCGTCACAACAACACTCCTTTAAAATGAACCCACCGTATCCGTCATATCATTGTAGCCATTTAAAAACAAAATTCATTTTTCACAAATTATTTTCTAAGCTACCGATTAATTTTGATAATTCAACTGGTAACAAATTAAAGATAAATAAATGTAGTTTGAAATAATTTAAGTCATCTTGAACAATACAATTTTTTAAAAACCTAGTCGTTATCCTTCTTGGTCGCTGGTGGCAGTAAACGATCTAGAGGAGACATATCAAACAATTAGGTCCCTTACTGCCTTGTGATATTTTTGGATGGGCAAACAAAGGCTTTGGAAGCAAATAAAAAAAAAATATCATTCACGTTCAGTATGAAACGTTTACGTCATCATATTGTATTTGGCATCACTGGAAGAGATGATATATTTTAACAATATCATTAAATTAGCTACTTAATGATACGTCCAACTCCCCCCCCCCCCCCAAAAAAAAGTCTACCGCTCCCCCTCCTTCCACCGAAGTAGAATTTATATGAAGAATATATACTTTTACTAGTGTCCTCCCCTCCCCCCCCCCCCACCCGCAGTTTTCACGTGTCTCCCTCGGAGAAAAACGTCTGGAAGAAACACTGTTATAAATAGTATAGGTTCTTTTTTGTACCATAGAACCAGAGTTTCTTCCGAACGACCCCGAAAATGTTGACCGCCCATCCCCCCGAAAATATAAGTGCCCCCCCCCCCCCCCCCGAGCAAAAAAGTCTGTAAACTCGTATGGACAGTCTTGGGACTGGAGCGGCTACTCACAATTTCTCTCACCCAAACGCCTACTTCTTATTTTTGCCATGTAGATCTAGTTCATTTCATGTTATAGCCTCTGATATTTGATAGTCATTTTTTGGACCTGCTAAAAATCTTTATTTTTTGGCTTCATAAATGTTTTTATGGCAACAAAAGTTCTAACTGTTCTGGCTATCGAAAGCTGATCTTCATTTCTGCTAGCGATAAAGTTTTGGGTCGAGACTATACACTTGTTCTCAGCTTTTGGATGCCCAAGGTCTCAGATCTCAAAACAGATCTAGATCTAGATCTCTAGGCCTAGATGTAGTCTAGATATAAGATCTAAAAAATCTAATTCTAGATGTAAAATCTAGTGCTAGTTTTAGTCTTGCTGCTATGAAAGAATGATGTGACCTAGACTCACTGCCGACCTAGATCTAGCTAGAATCTAGATTAGATCTAGATTTCTAGATCTAGAATATAGTCGACTCTAGATCTAGATCTAGGTCTTAAAAACTTTAACTAGACTCTAGAATACTCTAGAATACTCTAGATCTAGATTCTATATCTATAACTATAGTCTAGACTTGATCATATTTCCATCATGAAGACTACTAGAAAGCACTAGATCTAGATTAAATTTCTAACTTTAAAGTACTTTAATTATAATTAAACATTGATTAGGCTAATGATAAGACTTTGTTTTTGAACTTTAGGCATAGCAGTTTAGACTTTAGACTAGTTATATATAAGTGTAAGACTTTTTAAAATTTTAGAAAATAATTGATTTAAAATTGCTAGGAAACTTAAAACTATTCAGTAATATATTGAGCAAAAATTGATGTAAATTATTGTAATTGTATAACTAGATCTAGTAACCTGTAGCCTAATCAATCAATAATAAAACTTAAAAATCCCAAAATAATAAAGGCTTATTAATTATAATTTAGTAGCTAAATTGATGCACTTGTTAAAAAATGAATAAACATGATTTCTATGAAAATATTTCTCTAATTAACTTTCCGTGCAGGCCTATAACTTTACCTACATTTCCAGGTGGATCTAGATCTAGATACAAACATTTCTCCCCTTGTGTTGTTACATCACAATTATAGGAACCATGTTATGTTCTTCTTTAATTGTTCATAATTCATCATAAATGTTGTCATTCTGTAGTTCTATGCTAATGACAGTTCAACCATGAATGTTGTCATTCTGTAGTTCTATGCTAATGACAGGTCCACCATAAATGTCATTCTGTAGTTCTAAGATAATGACTGTTCCACTATAATTTTATTTCTCTCTCCAGAGCCTGAAGGATCTTCCATAGTGGTGTGTGCGGTCTAATATTGCCTAAGGGTCAAGTGGGGAGTTCAAAGGTCAGCTCCATTATATGTTGTATGTTGGTCTAAGAATGTATTTAACCATAATCTTCTAAAGATGACCCTCATGCTGTATTCTGTTTTCCACATCATTGACCAGTGGCTATTGTTATGTAGTTTGTAAATAAACACTGGATGATGACTAGTCGAGCTACCATATAAACTTCTTTCTTTAAAAAGTAAAAATATTTTTAACTATACAGAGTGACTGACAGCTGCTGAGTGTGATGTGAAGGTCAAGGTTATTTCAATCAAACAGCTGCCACAGATGACCATAAGACTACAGTAAAGGCCTGTAGAGATCTGTCACATCAAGTTACAGGTAAGTTTATTAATTATCTTTTAACTTAATCAAGTGTACAGTCATGGTTTAGTGCTGATGTAGACAATGTGTCAAATCTTTGTGTTGTGGTTTATTTAACAGAAATTAACTTGGATAGTCTAGATGACCACAACAGTATGGCCAGTGGAGAGGATAGTCTAGATGACCACAACAATATGGCCAGTGGAGAGGATAGTCTAGATGACCACAACAATATGGCCAGTGGAGAGGATAGTCGAGATGACCACAACAGTCTGGCCAGTGGAGAGGATAGTCTAGATGACCACAACAGTCTGGCCAGTGGAGAGGATAGTCTAGATGACCACAACAGTCTGGCCAGTGGAGAAGACATCTCAACATATTTTACAGGTAATGTCTATTTGGAAAGATATTCAAAAGGTATCTACCTGCATGCTTACTACGTTTTGTGCTGATGAAGTCCTTATGTTGGAACATTCTGTAGTTTGAAATGTTTACTGGATGAGTATCTTAAGATGGTAATGGTTGAGATGGTTGTGACAGTTGGATGTTGTAGATAGTTTTCATGTTTTATGTTTGTTTAAGTTCAACAGCCAATTAAAATGTTTACAGTAATAAAATGTGTTTTGTTTACCTGTACAGGTACACATGAAGTACAAGAATGTCTTGAAGGTCAAGGTGAGGCAGATCTACACATACACAAGACAAACTGCGAGAAAAATCCTGGCCATACAAACTTTGTACCTGTAAATCAGTTAAGTCTTGAACATTTTCCTTCTGGTTTCCATGACAACGATGTGTATGACCTCACAAAAGCCCTGGCTGACCTAACTGTCAGGATAGCCGTTAAGTTGACCAGTCCAGACAGACCAGAGTTTGTACCAGGCACTAAAGATCCATATCCTTGCTACAACACCAGGGGACAGAACTCACTGAGGACAGGGACTGGGAGGGTGGGGTGGGTGACCAAGTACACAGAGGGGATGTGGGGCTACAAAACTTGTCCATGTCCTGAATGTGACCACTCGGACACACCCAGCAAAGTGTGGTGGGAGGTTATTGTGAGGACAGCCGCACATGTGGTTTTTGATGAGAGTGAGGCGAGACAGTCCAGCTGTAGGTTGTGGTTTGATGATGATAAAAGTCCAGTGGTCAAGATTTATGGGTGGAAGGTGAAATGGTCAGACACTGAGGAAGACATGTGTGAGTTGTATTGTGTGACACATGACGTAGATGTAGCTGGTAAACTGGAGGAGATGGTGGGGCGGTTTGATGGTCTATGTGATAAAGTATGGGACAAATACAAGAGTTGTAGAGATGTGGACAAGCTGACCATTATAGTGTCACATCCTCATGGCTGTTCTAAGCAGGTCTCTGTAGGTCACTGGGTACACAAGCAGGTGGTGGACAGGCAGGTGTTAGAGAAGTATAGAGAGACCAGGTACACGTACACAACGGCCACCTGTCAAGGTAGCAGTGGGGCTCAGGTTTACAGACTGGGGTTTGGAATGTCTACCCATCCCCACAGTGGAGCTAACTCTGGTGGATTAAATTATAGTGGGGTGTACTTGGACGTGTAGTTGTCTGCTCTTGTATAGAATGTAAACAAACATGGCGCCTGTTGAAAGTCTGTCTTTTCTAGAATGTAAACAAACATGGCGCCTGTTGGATGTCTGTCTTTTCTAGAATGTAAACAAACATGGCGCCTGTTGGATGTCTGTTTTTTCTAGAATGTAAACAAACATGGCGCCTGTTGGATGTCTGTCTTTTCTAGAATGTAAACAAACATGGCGCCTGTTGGATGTCTGTCTTTTCTAGAATGTAAACAAACATGGCGTCTGTTGAATGTCTGCTCTTAAAATATTTCTTGACATTATTGCAGAGCTTTATTAAACTTTTAATTAATTATCTCGTTATTTTAATCAGAGAAAAAGTTGTTGATTATTTGATTGGGAGTGAAGAAAAAAATTGTAACTTGTAACATATTTCTTGTAAAAATAAAATATTAACGTAAATAAACAGTTTTCAATCAACTCGTTTTCTTTCTCATTTTTGTTTGTTTATATTTTCGGTCTAGCGACTCTCAATATTAACGCTAAAGTTGGGATCTAGCGACTCGATATTGACGCTAAAGTTTGGATCTAGCGACTCTCAATATTGACGCTAAAGTTTGGATCTAGCGACTCTCAATATTGTCGCTAAAGTTTGGATCTAGCGACTCTCAATATTGACGCTAAAGTTGGGATCTAGCGACTCTCAATATTGACGCTAAAGTTGGGATCTAGCGACTCTCAATATTGACGCTAAAGTTGGGATCTAGCGACTCTCAATATTGACGCTAAAGTTTGGATCTAGCGACTCTCAATATTGACGCTAAAGTTTGGATCTAGCGACTCTCAATATTGTCGCTAAAGTTTGGATCTAGCGACTCTCAATATTGACGCTAAAGTTGGGATCTAGCGACTCTCAATATTGACGCTAAAGTTTGGATCTAGCGACTCACAATATTGACGCTAAAGTTGGGATCTAGCGACTCTCAATATTGACGCCAAAGTTTGGATCTAGCGACAATATTGACGCTAAAGTTGGGATCTAGCGACTCTCAATATTGACGCTAAAGTTTGGATCTAGCGACAATATTGACGCTAAAGTTTGGATCTAGCGACTCTCAATATTGTCGCTAAAGTTTGGATCTAGCGACTCTAAATATTGACGCTAAAGTTGGGATCTAGCGACAATATTGACGCTATAGATTAGATCTATCGACTCCGAATATTAAAGGGACGGAGTGGCCTAGCGGTAGTGAGCTGGACTGCTAACCTATAAGTCTCGAGTTCGAACATGGTCAGTAGAACGTCCCTGAGTCCACCCAGCTCTGATGGGTACCTGACTCACGTTAGGAAAAGTAAAGGCGGCTGGTCATATTACTGACCACACTATCTCTTCATATGCCGTGGTCACAAAAACAAGTGAACTATAATTCATCTTCCCCGTAGACCGTCAGGTTTGAAAGGGAACTTTAAATTTTACTCTCAATATTGACGCTAAAGTTTGGATCTATAAAATGTATTAGTGAATTGAATTTGGGTTAATTTTCAAATCTTTTAGTTGTTTCAATAGCAACCTGAACTTCTAGAAACGTCTTTCTGCTATTTTGGTCTATAAAGAAAATTATATCAACATATTGACATAAGAAAAACCATTAAACATATGAAACAAAAAAAATTTTTTTTTATGTCGTGTCTGTTGTAAGCAGACAAAAGCTTGATCCAACGAGTAGGTGGTTAAAAACAATGTCAATAGCAGTCAAAGGGAAATAACAATTAAAATAGAAAATTTCTTTAAAAAACATGAATAATGTACCTTTAAATAATTTAAAATAGTGTCCATGTAATTTTTTTTGTTGTATGTCACACAAAGTCAGATATCTAATTATTATAACACAAAGTCAGATATACAATTGTTATCACACCGGGTAACACCAAGACTAAAGCTTTGCAAAGTATATAGAAGAAAAATGGTTAATTAGATTTTTAAAAGGGGGGGGGGGGGCTGACACTAAGTATATGAAATAAATAAATTATATATATATATATATATATATATATATATATATATATATATATATATATATATATATATATATAAAGCTAACCAACAAGCACATTAGGGAATTTATCTTCAAAAACACCTTTAGAAACATCAACCACCAAACACTAATACGAAGGAAAACTAATGGGGGGATAGGACTACATGATTTAAGTACAAAAATTAACACCTTCCGACTCAAACATTTGGACAGAATTAGGATAGAGCCACATTACCACCCACTTGCACAATACTACATAGGACAGAGCATCAACACCATATTAAAACAAACAAACGCTACACCACATTACGGGGGGGGGGTAGATTTAGGCACATTTTATACAAAAACTTTAGCTATTTTTAAAACAAACACAAACATTATGGGAGAAAGTTCAAAGAAAATTTTCGACACTCTGGTCAAACAACAATTAGAACCTTTATACAATAGAATTAAGTGGGCCAGAGAGTACAGCACCATAGACATTAGCGACACCTTTAGGAACTTACACAGAAAACACATTACACCTAAAGAGAAAGAAATAGGGTACAGACTTATATATAATACAACACCCATCTCAACAAACACTAAAGATAACACCAACATAAGTATCACCTGCCAAATGTGCAGACAAAACATACAAGAAACAGAAAAACACATCTATCTAGAGTGCAAAATAATACATCTAGCAAAACAAACTTTAGGTAGGATTCTAAAGGCAAATCATACAGAGGTGGTTAACAAAGCAATCACCCTTAACAACATCATCAAATCAAAAGATAGAAGGACGGACGAAAACATTTTGACTGCGACAGCTATTTTTAGACATACTGTTTGGACAACCCGTAACAAGACAAAGTTCGACCGGAAAGTTTACGCTGACACGGACGTGGACTCTATTTTTAAAGCAGTACTGAGACAAAGACTGGGGACTGACCTCATCACCTAACAGGAATATAGCAGACCGCTCACAAATCTCGACATCTCATTCCTACACTAGCCAGTCTTGTGTTGGGGAGAAGGGTAAATCCTGAACTTGTTTATGATTTTGATGATTTTAAATATTTTGACTCTCTGGCTATTAAGCAACACATATGAGAAATACATTTCTCTCTTTCTTCATCTGCAAGGGACACAATCAAGTTTCATTGTAAGATGAATAGGTTGGCTGCAGTTATTTACCCCTATTTTATCTAACACCACTAATAATAATTTTAACCACAATCTATGCTAACAATATCAATGGTTTTCTTTGTACACTAAACTGATTTCTTTGATGAACATGTTTTTACTACCTTAAATCAATGTTTTGTTTATGTAATATCTCGGTAAATATCAGCTGAATCTTAGGAAAGGGAGGTAACCAAATAAATACTGCAAATATTAGGGAAATTGAGTTGCATACCTTTATTTCTATCGCACTAAAAATATTTACATTACCTTTAATCGCAGTCATCCTAATTTTCATTATTACGGTCTATGACCTTTTCTAACAGTTTCCAGGTATTTCTTTCCCTTCTAAACTTACTCAAAATTCTTGTCTTAAATTTCGCAACTATTAATTATTTCTATTTTATCTAGAATTTGGATTATTTTTAAATGAAACGGGCAGGGGAGGCAACCTAATTATTACCATAGTTGTAATTACCATAAAAAAATTAAAAGAAGACTGTTTTGCAGATGATAGGTACAAATGGAAAGTGTGAATGCTAATAATCTCTAATTGCATATAATATATTGTGATTCATGTATATTTTGTATAAATGACAGCCTTTTATTTTTCCCTCACACCAACTTCTGAAGCCAAAATTTCGCCAATATGAAATATACTATAGCCCACCACTCTTATTATTGTACCCAAATCTCATTCAATGTATAACTTTCTAGCTTTCAGAACCAGCAAAGATTTCATGCTCCTGGAAACTAACTCCCCCCCCCCCCCCCCCCCTCCTTCCAAAATTTCTATGATTTTACTTTTGTATATAATATGTAAATATCAGAATGAATGATTAAGTATGAAAATTACAGAATGGTTAAAATTGTAAATCTGCGACAGTCTTCAAAAGTCGAATGATGAAAGTAGAAAAATCAGTCAGTGCCACCACACATTGGCTGGGCAAGCTGAGAATACAAATCTACAAAACTGAGACTTGAAAAAAGAAAAAAATATATACATATATATATAAACATATACATATATATATATATATATATATATATATATATATATATATATATATACCCCATAATTTTTCTAATTTCGAGAAGGGGGGGGGGGGTGACACCAAAAGGTGCCACACCGGTTGACAACCGCCGACCTAGCTGAATTCACATTGACTTGTTACACTCAACACGACACCATATCCATGAGAATTTGTAGCATGTGCTTTACGCTCAGAGTATGTTAAAAATGATTTATTTTGTATTTGCCTTATTTTATATCAATGTATTGTATAGATCTCAATAGTAATCATTAATCAGTAGACTTAGCCAGACCAACTTAATTTAAACACTTTAAATCCTCATCACACAAACTACCCGGCTATAATTCTACATTTTTAAAGTTTTTCTAATACAGTGTAGTTATGGGTCTTTATAACTGAATTAAAGTTTTTCTAATACAGTGTAGTTATGGGCCTTTATAACTGAATTAAAGTTTTTCTAATACAGTGTAGTTATGGGTCTTTATAACTAAATTAACTTTTTAACATAAAAAGTGTATAGCAGGCAAATAAAAACCTGTAAAGTGTAATGCAGCGATTAAGGTCCACAGACCACCAGCTAAGATAATCTTCAAACACATTCTGTATAAAGGCTATTTTTAGCGTTTTCTGTAATATATTCATTACAGTGCCATTTCCTAGTCTTCACCGTTTTATAATTTCTTATATTTACACATTTTCCACAATTTTAATCCCTAAGTTTCTGTTAGTCATTGTCACATAAAACTGAAATTTTTCACGTGAATTAACCATTACAATATGTAGTGTCATC